GATCCTGATCTTTATACATCCTGTAGTAAATTGACAATGCTGCCTCTACAGCATTGAAATTCCAAGCAATGTTTTCAGCCATGCACAATTCATCCCTTCGGGACTACAGAACAACCCCCCCATCCCGTTCCTCATAACATAAGGGGATGTGTTCTGTAGTCCAGTAGTTAAAGCAGGGGCGTCCCTAGGGTTGGTGTCACCCGGTGCGATAACACTTGGTGACACCCCCTTTGACGATCCCCGCAGAATGGATCGGATCTGCGGATTGAGCTTAATGGATTGGACTCGGATCCATAATGCTCAATACGCAGATCCAAACCATCCTGCACGGATCGTCGGCTTTCTTTACAACTTACCTTTTCGTGGAGCGGGTCCGGTGTCACCCCGTATAGGTTGCATGCCGATGATCCCCGCAGGATGGTTTGGATCTGCGGATTGAGCATTATGGATCGGAGTCTGATCCATTATGCTCCTCAATCCGCATATCCGATCCATCCTGCGGAGATCGTCGGCATGCAACCTATACGGGGTGACACCGGACCCGCTCACGAAAAGGTAAGTTGTAAAGAAAGCCGACGATCCCCACAGGATGGTTTGGATCTGTGGATTGAGCATAATGGATCGGAGTCTGATTCATTATGCTCCCCAGTCCGCAGATCCAATCCATCCTGCGGAGATCGTTGGCATGCAACCTAGACGGGGTGACACCGGACCCGCTCCACGAAAAGGTAAGTTGTAAAGAAAGCCGACGATCCCCACAGGATGGTTTGGATCTGCGGATTGAGCATAATGGATCGGAGTCTGATTCATTATGCTCCCCAGTCCGCAGATCCAATCCATCCTGCGGAGATCGTTGGCATGCAACCTATATGGGGTGACACCAGGACCCGCTCCATGAAAAGCTAAGTTGTAAAGAAAGCCGACGATCTCCGCAGGATGGATCGGATCCATCCTGCGGGGATCGACGGCTTGCTTTACAACTGACCTTTTCGTGGAGCGGGTCCGGTGTCACCCCGTGCGTGCGGTAGGTGTCACCTGGTGCGGGCCGTACCCCCCGCACCTGCCTTGGGACGCCACTGAGTTAAAGTATACTGTACATCACCAGCCACACAGGGGATTCTCAAAACGAATGTCAAAATGTTTATTTGAGAAGGTCACATCACAACGGTAATGTGCAACATCTCAGACTATCCAGGACCCCTTTGTCAGGCTTGTGGTCATCATATACCTGATGAAGGGGTCCTGCATGACCACAAAATGTTGCATCTTACCGCTGTGATGTGACCTTCTCAGATAAATGCTTGGATGTTAATTTTGATAATCCATGGTGTGCTGGTGTTATATATATTGATTCATAGTGTCACCCTTTTCCAGGAACGTGTGCAATGGGAATATTGCACTCTGTAGTCCAGTATTGCACTCTGTAGTCCAGTAGGGGACAACTGGGAAGGAGCAGTATGCACAGTTGTGTTCAAAATAATAGCAGTGTGTTGAAAAAAGTGAATAAAGCTCAAAATCCTTCTAATAGCTTTTATTTCATCCACACAAATGCATTGGGAACACGACACATTCTATTCCAAATCAAAACATGAAGAAAAATATATCAAATTTATGTTGTTCCTCTAAAAAAATTTAAGAAAAGTGAATATTAGACTGTTCAAAAAAATTGCAGTGTTTGTATTCTTCTTTACAAACTCAAACATTCACTATATAAACTAAAAAATGTTTGAAGATTTTGCTTTCCTTTGAATGACTTCATGAATATTTGGTTGTAGTCGCACTGTTTCTGAGAACTGCTGTACATCTGTGTTGCATGGAGTCACCCAACTTCTGGCCCCTGTGATCAGGTATTCCAGCCCAGGATGATTGGACTACATTCCATAGTTCTTCTCTATTTCTTGGTTTTGCCTCAGAAAATGCATTTTTGATGTCACCCCACAAGTTTTCTATTGGATTAAGATCCGGGGATTGGGCTGGCCACTCCATAACGTCAATCTTGTTGGTCTGGAACCAAGATGTTGCACGTTTACTGGTGTGTTTGGGGTCGTTGTCGTGTTGGAACACCCATTTCAAGGGCATTTCCTCTTCAGCATAAGGCAGCATGACCTCTTCAAGTATTCTGATGTATTCAAACTGATCCATGATCCCTGGTATGCGATAAATAGTCCTAACACCATAGTATGAGAAACATCCCCATATCATGATGCTTGCACCACCATGCTTCACAGTCTTCACAGTGTACTGTGGCTTGAATTCATTGTTTGGGGGTCGTCTGACAAACTGTCTCCGGCCACTAGTCCCAAAAAGAACAATCTTACTTTCATCAGTCCACAAAATGTTGCGCCATTTCTCTTTAGGCCAGTCAATGTGCTCTTTGGCAAATTGTAACCTCTTCAGCACATGTCTTTTTTTCCAACAGTGGGACTTTTGCGGGGGCTTCTTGCAGATAGCTTGGCTTCACATAGGCGTCTTCTAATTGTAACAGTACTCACAGGGAACGTCACACCTTCTTTGATCTTCCTGGAGCTGATTGTCGGCTGAGTCCTTGCCATTTTGGCTATTCTTCTATCCATTCGAATGGTAGTTTTTCGCTTTCTTCCACGTCTTTCAGGTTTTGGTTGCCATTTTAAAGCATTTGCGATCATTTTAGCTGAGCAGTCCTATCATTTTCTGCACTTCTTTATATGTTTTCCCCTCTCCAATCAACTTTTTAATCAAGGTATGCAGTTCTCCTGAACAATGTCTGGAACGACCCATTTTCCTCAGAATTTCAGAGAGAAATGCACTGTAACCAGCATGTACAACATTTGCTGCCTTCCTTCCTTAAATAAGGGCAATAATTGCCACCTGTTTTTCAAAGAATGAATGACCTCACTAATAGAACTCCACACTGCTATTATTTTGAACATGCCCCTTTTAATGAGTGATTCAATTACACAGAATCAGCAGCATGCATGTCATGACTGTTGGGTCTGTTGGATTTCTATTACTCTACTACACCTGCTAGGAAATTATTTGCCATGTAGAAATATCATTTGTACCAAAAACAGTGATTGATCCGGTTAGTGATGTCTGACTGCTATTATTTTGAACACAACTGTATGTAACTATGATCATAAACGAACACCAAAGTTTGTTATGCTGTTTTTTCAGTTGACATGAAATTACTTAGGCCCCTTTCATATGGAGCAAACCGGTCAGCAGACAGATCATCCACTGTGCAAGCGGATGACAGGTTCATGTCCTCTCTGCTTATGCAGAGCGGACACGGATACAGCTGGAAGGTCATATGGAATCAGACCAACTGTCCATTTCCATCTGACTGCCATCCGATCCAATTCACTGGATGGAAGGGGAACGGATTCCTGAAAAAACCAGGACATCCGTGTGAAAGGGGCAAAAGATAGTTTATGTCTGGCAGAACCAACAGATAATTTATGTGTTTGCTGAAAATGTTATTTGCCCGAAATGTGAAAACGAACGCAGCTACCACATCTAAACACTGTTTGCAATATATTACATTTTTGTTTTACAGTTTAGATATGCTTTATTTGGGTTGGCACAGTGGCTTAGTAGTTAGAATTTATGTCTTGCAGCCCTGGGTTACTTTCTTCAGAGCTCAGCCAGGACACTATCTGCATGGCGTTTGCATGTTCTGCATTGGTTTGCTGTCTAAATTGGCCCTAGTTTGTGTACAAGTTGGCTATGCACATATGCTATCGCATTCTGTATGCCAGTCCCACTCTGAGTAATTGGGGAGGGTTGAGGAAAGACCTGGCAACCTACTTTGTAAAAAATGTCCAAGAAAATTTCTATGGAAAAGTCTCTCAAGTGTATCAAACATGGTGCCCACGGCACTGGCTCATAGAATTGCTGAAGGATGGATATACCTGAATAGATATTTAATACAGTACATTTTAATCATGATGGTTATCTATTCTCTGTTCTCTGTACCTTGTTCTCTGGTCTTACTTGTGTACTTTCCAAAGTGGATTGCCTGCCATGACCACATGCTCCTCAAAAAATGGCTCTACTGGCTGGTTTGGTTCCAGAATCATTTTGAGTGATCTACTTATCTGTATCACAGTACTGATGCACCCTTCCAAGCTTTTCTTAAAATGGACAACTTTTATTTCCCAAATATTAAGGCAAAAAATGGCCAAACCCCAAATCATACCGATCACGAACAATGAAAGTGTTACTAAACCAACAACAGTAAAATCAGTCTGTATATGCAGTAAAACATGCTTGTTATACACTCACTGTGGAACCTAAGGGGTTAATCTTCTGCATTATGTAAAAATGCTGTTTGATTCTGACTTCTCTGATCCTCCCCTTCTTCTTATCTCCTGCTAAGACATATCATGTGGAGTCACTCTTCACATGCTCACTTTGGTGTGTATTGCTAGAGAGGTTTTTTTTTTTTGTTTTTTTTTTGGGAGGGGGGGGGGGTGCATGTGATCAGCACAGGGCCAATCGGCACTGTCCAGACAGAGGTCAGGGGTTCTGCATCCTCCTAGAGAAAACTCCTCCTACAAGCTTTAGCCAGTGCTCTGCTGGACGCTGATAGAAGTCACAAGACTGCTATATACTGCTGATGAGAAAAGGTATTTAGCAGTTTATATTTACTAAAATAATTACACTTCTATGTTCTGTGTACTGTGCGAGACCAGATATAGTGAATGCAGAATCTGGGGAGACCAGATATAATGAATGCAGGGTCCGGGGAGATCAGATATAGTGAATGCAGTGTTCTGGTAGATCAGATATAGTGAATGCAGGGTCCGGGGAGACCAGATATAGTGAATGCCGGGTCCGGGGAGACCAGATATAGTGAATGCAGGGTCCGGGGAGACCAGATATAGTGAATGCAGGGTCCGGGGAGACCAGATATAGTGAATGCCGGGTCCTGGGAGACCAGATATAGTGAATGCAGGTCCGGGGAGATCAGATATAGTGAATGCAGTGTTCCGGTAGATCAGATATAGTGAATGCAGGGTCCGGGAGACCAGATATAGTGAATGCAGGGTCCGGAGAGACCAGATATAGTGAATGCAGGGTCAAGGGAGACCAGATATAGTGAATGCAGGGTCTGGGGAGACCAGATATAGTGAACGCAGGGTCTGGGGAGACCAGACCAGATATGATGAATGCAGGGTCCGGGGAGACCAGATATAGTGAATGCAGGGTCCGGGGAGACCAGATATAGTGAATGCAGGGTCCGGGGAGACCAGATATAGTGAATGCAGGGTCTGGGAAAGACCAGATATAGTGAATGCAGTGTCTGGGGAGACCAGATATAGTGAATGCAGGGTCTGGGGAGACCAGATATAGTGAACGCAGGGTCCGGGGAGACCAGATATGATGAATGCAGGGTCCAGGGAGACCAGATATAGTGAATGCAGGGTCCGGGATTTAGTAACACTTTAATATACCAATAAAACATTTCAATGTATGCATTGATATCTAAATTGTCAATATCAGCAAAACAAAAGTGCTGATCACTTAATATGTTGCTGTTTTGTACACTGTTCCCTTTTCCTTTGTACTACTTAAAAGACAACTTACAATTATTTAAAAGATGAACATTAAAGTGTTACTAAACTCACATCAGCAAAGTCAGTCTGTATATGCAGTAAAGCATGCTTATTATACTCACTGTGGAACCTAAGGGGTTAATCCTCCGCATTGTGTAAAAAGGCCGTTTGATCCTGTCTTCTCTGATCCTGCCTTTCTTCTATTGTCCCTCATCCATCTACCATAATTAGAGCAGCAGTGGCAAGTCTGCAAATGCTCTCCCAATCAGTCCAGACAGAGGGTCAGGGGTTATGTAGCCTCATAGGACAGTCAGAAGAAACCAAAAAACTCCTACAAAAAACTAACCAGTGCTCAGCTGGACACTGACAGAAGTCACAAGAGTGCTATATACTGCTGAGGAGAAAAGGTATTTAGCCGTTTATATGAAATAAAATAATTGCATTTCCATGTTCTGTGTACTGTGGAAAATTGGATATAGTGAAGGCAGGGTCCTGTGTTTAGTAACACTTTAAGAATATACATGATATATATGTTAACAATAGAGCATTCACTTACACTGATACATATATTAGACCTAAAAAAGGGTCATCTATGGAAAAAAGAAGTTAAAGGCGTTTGGTTCCACAAGAGGGAAAATTGGGAACTGTTAACGTAATCAGGATGCTCACTGTTAAATGAAAAAAAAAAAACTTCTATGCCAGCCTTTCTTAACCTTTTTTACCCAAAAGGAGCCCCTGAAATTATTTTTCAATCTCAGAGAAACCCACTGCTAAAAACATGTTCATTGGAGGTGAGTGGGAAAATACCCGTTACATTAGTGGTCAGTGGGAAGAATGTCCCTTACATTGGTGGCTAGTGGGAAGAATGTCCCTTACATTGGTGGTCAGTGGAAATAATGCTCCTTACATTGATGGCCAATGGAAAGAATGTCCCTTACATTGGTGGTCAGTGAGAAGAATGCTCCTTACATTGGTGGTCAGTGGGAAGAATGTTCCTTACATTCATGGCCAGTGGAAAGAATGCTCCTTACATTGGTGGTCAGTGGGAAGAATGTTCCTTACATTCATGGCCAGTGGAAAGAATGTCCCTTACATTGGTGGCCAGTGGAAAGAATGCCCCTTACGTTGGTGGCCAGTAGGAAGAATGCCCCTTGCATTGGAGGTTAGTGAAAAGAATACCCTTTACATTGGTGGCTAGTGGGAAGTATGTCCCTTACATTGGTGGATATTGGAAAGGTTGCCCCTTATGTTGGTGGCCAGTTGAAAGAATGCCCCTTATGTTGTTGGCCAGTAGGAAGAATGCCCCTTGCATTGGGGGTCTAGTGAAAATAATGTCCCTTATATTGGTGGCCAGTGGAAAAAAAAGCCCCTTACATTGATGGCCAGTGAAAAGAATGCCCCTTACATTGGTGGCCAGTGGAAAGAATGCCCCTTACGTTGGTGGCCAGTGGAAAGAATGCCCTTTACGTTGGTGGCCAGTAGGAAGAATGCCCCTTGCATTGGAGGTCAGTGGAAACAATGCCCTTTACATTGGTGGCCAGTGGAAAGAATGCCCCTTGTGTTGGTGGCCAGTAGGAAGAATGCCCTTTACATTGGTGACCAGTTGAAAGAATATTCCTTACATTGGTGGCAAGTAGGAAGAATGCTCCTTACATTGGTAGTCAGTGGAAAGAATGCCCCTTACATTGGTGACCAGTGGAAAGAATGCTCATATAGTGGTGGTCATAATGCCACCGTTGCAGACAGCTAATAAGAACATTGGCTTCCTGCAGCTGGCTCTGTCAAGTGGTGTTGATGACCCCAGAACTATCCATGCACCATCAAATGGGAGGTTAATCAGCCACAGCTCAAGGAACCCCTAGCAACCTATAAAGGAACCCTAGGTGTCTACGTAACCCTGGTTGAAAATGGCTGCCTTATGCTATCAAGGTTGATTTAAGGTGGCCATACTTCCCATACCTTCGCTCCGATATTGAGTCCACTCCTGAGCGCCCCTCTTGCGTGTCTCTTAGTCTCTGCTGCCTTCTGCTTGAAATGAAAATGAGGAAGTGGTGTATTGTATTTTAACAGCAATGCTGTTCTTCCACCTAACACTCATTTAGTTTCACATACTGCAGTGCACAAACATAAGAAACAACGTGGTCTCATGAGAATACCATTCACAATATAATATACAGACAGTGAATGTATAGGTTTTTTAAAATGGACAATGTTTTTTTTTTTTTTAGCTATACGTATATATGTAAATCTGTCATGTACCCCCATACTGAAATGTATGAGGTGCCTCTTGGGCTCTCTGCAAGACTGCATTTAAAGCTGGACTCCAAAAAGATAAAAAAGAGACAAATTAAATGCATGTCTATATTTGCTAATACTCCGCTAAATGCTATCCTTCTTATCCAAAGAAAATCCATACACATCCACTACTTAATGGCCCTGTAATTTGTTTTTCATGAAATAGTTTCTTGTATTTTTCTGCCTCCATGAGCTCCCACACCTCTCCTTTTCCATATATTTGGAACGAGCAGTGTATGTTAGTTGAGGTCATGTACACTGCTCTATGCAAACTGCAATCCCCATAGTCCATCTCGGGAGTGAACAAGAGAGGGTGGCCACGTTCCTTTATACAGTGGGACCATGGAGAATGAATGTAGCCACCCTCCAACAAGAAGTCAGACCACAGCAGCAGCAAAAAAAAAAGAAGGAATTTGGAGGTTTAGAGGAGGATGAGAGCAATACAAGGGACTTTCTTGATTTAAAGCAGATCTTCACCCTTATCAGGAAGTTTCCTCCTGTCATTTTCTGCAGGCAGCCAGTAGTGGGTGGAGCCTGCTTGGTCCCGCCCACAGCTCTGCTTTCTGCACAGGCTATGTAAAGCATAGTGATGACATCACAGTTAATTTTATAAGATAATATCTGGGTTTGGAAAGGCATTTCATGCATATGAAGTGTGTTTATATCCTTTGTGGCTATATTGAGGATTATATTTAACCAATTCCTTACTGGACCAATTTTGACACTTCTCTCATATATGTAAAAATCTGTGTTTTTTTTCCTAGAAAATTACTTAGATCCCCCACACATTATATATATATATATATATTTTTTTATCGGAATTTGTGCAGAAATTTTATAAACACAGTTTTTTTGAAAAATACACTTTAATGATTAGAAAAAAAAAAAACCCACAATATATAACCCAATTTTTTAAAAATATGAAAGATGATGCTATGCCAAAAGTAAATAGATACCCAACATGTCATGCTTTAAAATTGCGCATGCTTGTGGAGTGGCGCCAAACTATGGTACTTAAAAATCTCCATGGAAGACAATTTAAACATTTAAACAGGTTACCAGTTTAGAGCTACAGAGGAAATCTAGAACTAGAACTAGAATTATTGCTCTCGCTGTTCGCACCCATACCTCACATGTGTAACTTGAACACCATTTACGTATGCGTTCACCACTGCGCACACGCGCATGAGGAAATGGGAGCGCTTAAAAGGAATTTTTTTTTAATTACTTTTTTTTATTTTTACACTGTCCTTTTAAAAAATAAAATGTTTTGACCACTTTTATTCCTATCACAAGGAATGTAAACATCCCTTTTGATAGAAATAAGCAGTGACAAGTCCTCTTTATGGAAAGATCTGGGGTCAATAATTGATCTAGTGCTTTAAAAAAAAAAGGCCTTGTTTACATTAGGCCAGAACCGGAAGTGACATCATGATGTTGCTCTGGTACTCCACTTGGACCACTTTTATCAGTTAGAGAATAACTGCCTGAAAAAAAAAACAATACGGGGTTATGGCACATTGTTACAGCCATAACCCCGGTACTCCACTTTGCACTGAGGACGTCTTTTCACTATGGCCTGGTTGGGAAGTGCACTGCTCAAAAAAATGAAAGGAGCACTTTGAAAACACATCAGATCTCAATGAGGAAAAATCTCCTGCTGGATATCTATACTGATATGGATGGGGTAATGTGTTAGGAACGTAAGGATGCCCCATCGTTTGATGGAAATGACAATTATCAACCTACAGAGGACTGAATTCAAAGACACCCGGAAATCAAAGTGAAAAAATGATGCAGCAGGCTAGTCCATTTTGCTGAAATTTCATTGCAACAACTCAGAATGGTCCTTAGTAGAATGTATGGCCCCCACGTGCTTGTATGCATACCTGACAACGTCGGGACATGCTCCTAAGGAGACAACGGATGGTGTCCTAGGGTATTGCCCCCCAGATCTGGACCAGGGCATCACTGAGCTCCTGGACAGTCTGAGATGCAACCTGATGGCATTGGATGGACTGAAACATGATATCCCAGAGGTGTTTTATTGGATTTAGGTCAGGCGAGCGTGGGGGCCATTCAATGGTATCAATTCCTTCATCCTCCAGGAACTGCCTGCATACTTTGTCCACATGAGGCCAGGCATTGTCATGCAGCAGGAGGAACCCACTGCACCAGCTTAGGGTCCAACAATGGGTCCAAGGATTTCATCCTGATACCTAATGGCAGTCAGGGTGCCATTGTCCAGCCTGTAGAGGTCTGTGCGTCCCTCCATGGATATGCCTCCCCAGACCAGCACTGACCCACCACCAAAACGGTCATGCTGAACGATGTTACAGGCAGCATAACGTTCTCCATGGATTCTCCAGACCCTTTCATGTCTGTCACATGGGCTCAGGGTGAATCTGCTCTCATCTGTGAAAAGCACAAGGCGCCAGTGACAGACCTGTCGGTTCTGGCGTTCAATGGCAAATGCCAATCGAGCTCAATGGTGCCGGGCAGTGAGCACAGGGCCCACTAGAGGGTCTCAGGCCACCCTCATGAAGTCTGTTTGATTGTTTGGTCAGAGACATTCACA